CGCGTTTGGAGGTTTTCCTGACCTTCTCGGGTGAAACAGGGCGTGTCACGGATTTTTTTGACACACTGGAAGATATCGCGAGTCTAGCGGGATGGACGCCTAGACAATGCCTGAGCATAGCCAAATGCAAGCTTGCAGGCATAGCCCGAGATTTCGCGTGGCATGACCTCAGCATGAAGTGCATAACAGACTTCCAGACCTTTCAAAGGCTGATGGTTCAATGATTTGACCGAGAACAATATTCCATACGCGTACAGAAATTTCACTCATGCATGCAGAAAAGAGACAAAAGGGCACAAGAATTCGCAGTCCGATTGCAAAACCTGGCCAGCGCAACAATGATAGAGCAAACAGGCGCAAACGAACCGGAAAACGTAATTATCAAACGCTGTCAACAGCCGGAATTGGACGAAAAGTTGCGAGTCCAATTTCTGCATGGATTGACCGATAAGCTGAAGAGACAGGTGATGACCCATGATCAGCCGACCTTTGTGGATGCGCTGAAAGTAGCAATCCGTGAAGAAACAATAGATCAACTATTGGGAAAAACACGAAATGTAATGGCCAGCGTGGAGGATGCAGTAGTGTTACCACCTGTCCGGTTTTTACCCGGACAGTCCGGGGATTGACTCACTGTCCGGGTGAACTAATAATTTTGTCCGGGAATTTCGTAGAAATTGTGAAATTACGATGAAACAAAGTTCTTGCAAATATTTTTACAAATTTACACTATTTTAACAGCGAAAGAACTCACACTCACGTGACTGCAATTCATCATCTGCAATTCTGCCATGTTAATCTGTTTACGCTGACATGTAGCGTGCAACCTGTCACTCTTTTTTTTCTTTGTTTACATATACGATCGTACATGTCTCAAACAAAGCTAACTTATCTGTACCTGTTCTTTCTTAATTTAGGTTACTCCTACGCAAGTCCCTAGTCCCTAACTGTAACTGATTTGGAACCGGCACGTTATTAGAGAGGTTGAGACCGAAGTTTTAAACGCGAAACCGTGTACATCGGACTTTCAGCGTCGCTTTCCTGTAAGCCTAGAAGTTTAACAATGGTGTTTAGATAGTCAGTGGTATCATGCTCGATGTTCCAAACACCATTGTCAAACTTCTAGGCTTACAGGAAAGCGACGCTGAACGTTCGACGTACACGTTTTCGCGTTTAAAACTTCGGCCTCAACCTCCGTATTCTTCGCATTGTAAAATGATATTGCGCATGCGTCAGGAACTTCTGTTCGAACAAACCTGATCTGCCGTCCGGGTCTGCGATTTTGAAAACTACTCCCAGATGATATTACTATTCTACTTCTAGTTTTATGAAAGTTTTAAAGTTTTTTCCTTTAATTTCTTTTTGGCTCATATCAGAGACCAAGAGGCTAAAATCAGCAGTGTTCAATAGATTTAGCCACTCTGCCTGATCAACTAGTTAGTCCCGTGAAGTTTTCCAGATTTTTGTTTGCTTGTCTAACACCTAAATAGTGGCCAATTTTTTAATAGAAAGCCACCCGGAAGGCATCGCCTTCACATTGCCATTAATTCAGAAATATAGTTGTAAATTAAAAAGTGTCGGGCGCTAACCTGCGCCCCGAGTTTAAATCACCACTGTCTATGGAGTTTTGTATGAGTGAAGAGGAACTTTATGGCTTAATATTCGCAAAATATCTTAAATGCATTAAATATGGTCTGTGCAAAAAGTAACTTTTTCAGCTATTTGGCCAAGATACATAGTCTAAACACAGTCTATACGACTCTATAGTACATAGCCCTGCCTAGATTTTCACAAAGTATAAGGGTTTCGCCCTGCTTAGAAAGAAATACCAGGGTGCTACCCAGGAACACCCTTGCACAACTACAGTGTCGCATCAAACCAAACAATGTTTGTTTTTCAAAACTTTATTTTATTTGTTTAAAATGATTTAAAAAAAACAAGAATCTCAAAACTAACATACCGCACATTTCTATTAAATAGATTTTAAAATCATATGCCTTTTTATATTTTGAGTTTAGGTGTCTAACACTATCTTTATGTAACGTAGACCAGAAGTGACAGGTTAAGTAATGAAGAAATAAGAGAAAGAACAGGAATGTAAAATTTGGGAGAGAATATAGAACAAATTAGACTGAAATGGTTTGGACATACCAAGAGAATGGAAGACAATAGAATACCAAAGTTGGTATTGGAAAAGGAGATGGAGGGGAGAATACCTAGGGGAAGATCCAAAAAGAGGTGGATGGACAAGATAGCCAAAAACCTAAGAAAAATAACTAACGATATAACAACGGTGTTTGCTAAAGAGTGGTGAAAAAATAGAAAGAGATGGAGATGGAGAAAATAGAAAGAGATGGATAGAAAGAGATGGAGAAAGAGAATCCAGTAAAGCCTGGGTTGAGCCATGGGCTAAAGCCCATGGCTCAACCCAGGCTTTACTGGATTAAGGGCGAAGAAGAAAAAGACTCAGATTACATGTAGGGTGTGCACCGCACGAGAGCACCGTTATCAAGGGCTACCAAAATACAATTCTAAGTGAATTATAAAATGACGAAAAATGAAACAAAACATTGCGTGGATAAACCAAAATTGCGAATTTCAACGGTCCAAATGTTAATATTTGCATTATGTATTTATATGGATTTATACTACAGTATTACACTTTATTATTGTGGCTTTATTACATACTGTTTCTTAAATCAAAATATAAATTTCAAATAACTAAAACAATTGAATTTGATTTAAATATAAATACAGTATTAAATATATGCAAAAACCGCGGTAAAGGCATTGAATTAAAGAAAATATATACGAAAATAATCTGGGGAAAAAATGATATCGTCTTTACAACAAATAAAAAGCAATTCATCTTTACTAGCTTTCAAAATGTTCTTTTTGTGAAAAATTATAGCGATATCAATTTTCTATCTAAATTTGGAATATCTATTATATTTAGATATTGATTAATATATTGATAATTTTGTTTTCAACGAATGCTTTATGCTCAGATTTGCTTCTTAATTTCATTAAATTAAAAAAAATTAAAAAAATACAACATTGACACACATAACGTTGATTTCTACTAATAAAACAGAGATAGAGAAAGAAAGGGGCATTTTCCTCTCTAAAAGTACCGAAAAGCATAAATTGTAAACTTGTAGTAATAGAGCTTATGAGAAAGGATTAGTATTTTGTGACGGATTATTCAGAAATTCCGTGTATGACTATGTAATTTTTCTTTGTTCAACACTTTTAAAATATTATGCAGTTAAGTTTTGCCTTTTATCAACAAAATTATCATATATTACTTATAAAAAGTAATAATATTAATAAATAATAGTAATAATAAATTTAAAGTGTATAAAATTATATTTTATGGACAAGGAATTAAATTTGCATTTAGCATTTTTTATAAGTTACTTCATTTTGAGTACCTCGATTTCAGAATAAAATATCATTTTTAAAAGCTCCCGTGATTATATTAAAATATCTTAGAAATAATTTAGTGTTTTGAACAATATAAAAAAAATGACAGAATGGAATTGATAATCTATTTCGGAACGCAAACATAATTCAAAATAATATAAAACCCTTACAAATGCTATCATTTAAGGGATAAATATGAATTATGTACGTCATTAGAGAAATCTTCCAACACTTGACTATTAGTTTATCATCCCTCAATACATTTGACAATAGTTTTCTGTAATATGTATATGTTACCGCTAAAGCTCGAAATCCGTTAATGTGCACATTACCTAGCTAATCTGCACATTAACTAGGGTGATCCGTTAAAGTTGCTANGCGTGTGTGTGTGTGTGTGTGTGTGTGTGTGTTTTGTCAATGTTCCAATTATCAATCTTTAGAAGTGTTATTTTGTTTTATACTTTGTTTTAATGATAAAAATTTTTTTTCAAACTCTTTGAGAGAGTTTGATGGTCATCTTTTAAAAAATACAATAGGTTTTTTGACATACATCAAACGATTTGTTTTCAAGACATCCGTAAGTGCTCAAAATCAAAAACAAAAGTTTCACTACAAATTACACAAATTGATAGATGCTCACCATTAACTTCTTTATATGGAAATTTTAAAATAGATAATTTGATAATTTGTTTTCTCACATATTAGAATGATATTGTTCATAGACAAAAATCTAACACTTTTTTTTTTTTTTCGATTACAACCGAAAGTCAGTGGAGTTTTGTCTATATTTTTTCTTTGCTGCCAAAGACAGCCAAAGAAAACAAATATATGCACAAACAATATTTTCAAAGACTTTTTAAGCGGAATACGAAACCGCAGAAAAAAGTCAGTCATTCCATTTTGGGTCGAGACCCTATATTTCAGAAGTGCCATTATAGACTATCGTGTAACAGTTATATTATATAATATATCATTTCAGTACTTCTTACACTAGAGAATCCCATCAAAATTGTCAAAACCGCCACATTTCCATTAAATTTTGGTCGTCGGCTCTTTTTGGACAAATTCCGGCCTTTTCAAAATTATAGGTATTTTAAACTACCTATTTTTATCAGCTTTTTCAAAATTATATTTTTATCATTACACGCACACTTATGTAATTACAACTTTTCAATGCTTTACACATTTGACAATAATCAACAACGCCATTACACAACACATATAATGCTTATTAGAAACTTCATGTGTTAGTTAACAAACTCACTGTTTTATTATTTTAATTCATTTCTCTATACCAAAAGTTTTATTCTTTGCATATATTTATTTTTCCTTAATGTTTTTATAAACAATTCTTCCTTCAGACATTCAAAACAAAGAATTCATTAACTGAAACCAATCTGTAGCAAATGTTTACATATTCTTTATTCTATCTTAGCTCAATGTTAGTGTAAATCATAAAGGTATTACTAATTACCTGAAGTAATTATTTTCCGTTATTCCTTATTTATGAATTTAATTCGGTTTGCATATATAAAAAAAATAGGCGTAATTGACATAATTAGGGAAATACTTACCAATATCTGAGAATTCTATTGATGTTAAAAATAAATGTTTTCCTATCACTTACAACCAATAATTTGCTAACCAATAAAAAGAGCAATTTGAATAAAAGTAAAGTCATTTCTTAAAAATTAAGGATATGTACATTATCTCCTATTTACGTGTAATTTCATTATTTATTAAATAATCAAAGGTATCGTTGACTTTCTTTAAATATTTTCAAGAATGTCAACAACGATGTACGTCTCCATCTACGAGCATGCGTACTTCCTACACATCGGCAATGAAAGGGAATACAACACTCCAATCGAACCTAATTCGATAGAAAATTGTCATGTTATTCCGATATAATTAGACTAGCCGCATGGACCGTTTTTTAGAGGTACGATGCTGATTTCTTTGCGCAATCCTGGCCATCCCGCTGTTTTAGTAAAATTTTCACTTGTTTCGTTTGGAATCACCGTTTTACGCGGGAAAGTATTGTAATCATGTTAGATTTGATTCTCCCGGTTTTTTTTGCAAATCTCGACGACTGAAGGCAAAAGAGTAAAAAAAAAATTTCCTGGGTACATGGCATTTGTTTTTGGCATCTATTTTGTTTAATATCTAAGGATGAGGTAAAGATTAAGAAAGAAAATTTGGCATGGTAACTTGTATATAAGGGGATAAATTTTGGACTACGGAACTCAATTCGCTTGTGCCAACGATAGATCTGACATCTAGCGGTATTAGCGCGAACTACGTAATGGCGGCTGCTAAGGTTATAAAGTCTGACTGCAGTAAAGTCTGTGGTCTGCCGAGTGGACTCCGTCTCCGCTTGATAGTGGTGACCAGACCCTAAACACCGGAGTTCGATCGGAGGTTCGCGCCTCACTCGGACGGGCTGGCAGCTGGAGTTTTTTCCGGGTTTTCCTCCTTGCCAATGACGCCTGAATAAGGGCCAGCTTTCCCTCCAAGTCCTCCCGGAAGGCATTCTGTCTCCCTTTCTCGCGGGGGTCGTCTCTTATAAGACCGGCTTTGGTTACTTAGTGACCTCTCTTCTGTCTTCCTCGGATTGGTCGTCTTCTATAAGACCGACTCTTCCTTCCTGTTTCTTCCGGAGTGAAAAGCTGAGAGCTATACCACTCCTCTGTGACGATGATGATGATGAAGTCTGTGGTCTGTTAGAAAGTGTTCAAGCTACAATGGTAAATAATAAGTATTGCTGTGAATTTAGATGCAAGTCTAAAGGTTCATCAAACTCAGTCGCAAAGCATCAAACATTCGCAAAAAATAAATTACATCGAAAAAAGTGGGGAATAAAACTGAAGTTATCACTTTAGTTTCACCAACACCTAATTTTGCTGTACTTAAAATTCTTTTATTTTTACAAACGTTTTTAACCTATCTAATATAGACCATCGTCAGGTTTAATATTATAAATGTTCCAAAATGGAACGTACCGTTTTTGAATATTTTACATATATAAAATT